AAAAAAAACATGTAGACCTGGGCCTGTGCCTGCCAGGGCATCGGCTAAACCATCTGCAAGTCAGCGCTGGGCACATCCAGAAAAGTCTGCATTGATTCCAAATGTAGACAGGAATGCTTGACATCACCGCCCTCGCTCAGCGAGCACCTTCAACTTCCCTGCTAGGACTGTGTTCAGGAAAAGTCGGCGAAGTCTCCTCAAAGAGTGCCCTTAACTGGAAACAAATCACTAACTTGACCATAGAACTATACTCACAGGGGCAACTATGCTATAGGGTTATTTTTTAAACCGGTTTTTAATATTATGCAATTGGCATTTTAATGATTCCATTTTTGATGGCGATAGCTAACACAGAGAGATTGGAACAGAAAGTCATTCACTCATAATACATGAAATAATAACGTCTCCCTCAGGACTCCTAAAATTAAATTTTTCTTACCTTCCCAAGGATGGACAATGACAGAATTGCAACTCACCACATATGGTTTGTGATTCTTTTCAGACACAATTGACAAAATTCCAGAGATAGCAAACTGCCCAAAAGAAGGGGGAAAATCACAGTGAGTCTGCTTTGCTCTGTCCCTTTCACATCCTCCAAATGTCAAATAAAGTGGAGACTCTACAGGGACTGCTCTTGTGCTCCAGAAGCTCACTATCTCTTACAGTAAATATATTAAATATTTATCAAATTTTTAAAAATATTTAATAAAAATTTATATTAAATATTCTTATTTCCTACAGCATGCTTCTCCAAGTTAAAAGTGCCTCTGAGTCACGTGAGGATCTTGTTAAAATGCAACCTGCTTTTGCTCAGCAGGTCTGAGAGGAGGCTTGAGAGCTTTCACTGCTGCCCAAGACTCTCCCAGGCAAGGTGGACTTTGTCCCTGGGTCACTCTTCAGGTACCAGGGACCTCGTGCCTAGCCCTGTTGTGACATCATTCTCATCCTGCTATGATTACCCCTGTGACCGTGCTCTGTGTTTGAGCACCAACTGTTCTGGGCAAGACACACGTCTGTGGCAGGTGGACTTCCAGAGTCCACCAGCATCGAAGGGACACAGGCTAGTTATGAAAACATCACGGTGATTTACTGAACGTGTAAATTTGTAGCACAAACTCAAGATAATTTCAAAGATTTGGGTTGTGTGATGGTTGCAAGATGCCTCTTAAGCTAAGTGTTTGGAATGAAAAGATGGGAGAGAGAAGTTTCAGATGAGAAATGGCGGAAGTTCCAGAAGGGTCCTGAACACATGACCTGAGTCCTAAGAGTTCTGCAGATACCAAGACAATGGGATATTTTAAGAGTTAAGACATATCCTTGGGAATGAGGTGTTGAGGAAAAGTCAACATGGGTTGATTGAAAGTAACTGCTGAGTGAAGGAAGCCAGATGGCAGAGAAACAAGGGACATCTCCATTAAGTCGAACTCAAGCAAATGCAAACTAGTCTAGAGAGAGAGAAAGCATATCAGTGATTGTTTCAGGATGAGAAGAGCGAGAGGAGGGGAGGGAGGGATTACTCTTGTCCCAAGAGGCACAAGGCAGCTTTTGAAGATGATGGAGATACTCATTATATGGAATTGACAATGTTTTCTTAAGTGTGTACATGTCAAAAATTATCAGTCGGCACACTACATGTGTGGATTTTATTGCATGTCAATTATACACGAGTCAAGCGTTATATCTGTGATCTCATTTAGTTTCTGAACAGTATAATGATTAAAAGACGACCATGAAGAAGCATCATAGAAGTTCCTCAAATACCTTTATGTCCTGTTCTCTCTCAGCAATCACCTTTCCCTCCCTTCACTGAACTAAATTTATTCATGAGTAGTGTTCAGGGAATTTTTCTGGAATTGAATTCTGAACATTTAATCTTTATTAGCTAAATATTTTTTGGATAATTCATTTAATTTTTATTAATCTCAGGTGATAAAAATGCTGATAAAAATGCTGATGTGTTTAACCCCAAGTGCTTTGCAAAGTTTACATATATGATTTAAATACAAATTTAAATGTTGAAAATAAGTAGCAATTGGCTTGGTCGGAGCCAATCTGGTTAAGAGAAAAGCTATGTGCAATGTCAGACTGGAGACAATTGAAGGTATGTACTCACAAATACTGCTCCCCAGAACGGGTAGCGTGCTTTAAATGAAGAAAAAATGTCTTCCTTAAATTCCGAAATATTGATCATGGAGCAGATAACTGTCCCAAGACAAAGGCACACCGAGCTGATCAGAATTTGTGTTACCTGTAGAAAAATGCATTTTGTGGAATAAGAAGATATGGCCCCAAGAGTGTGCCAGTTCCCTCCTAATTGAAGCCAAATGTGAGGAATCACTTTGGTATCTTTGACAGGACCCAACTGTGCTCTTTCCTAGTGTCCCCCACCCATGCCAAGAACTGATACAGCTAAAACCTACTCCAGGAATGTCTGTATTTCTCATGTTTTCCTTTATTTTATTTTGCCTAGTCATGGTGGACAGTCATAATTGTTCTTTCCATAAATGAGGATAATTATAAACCCTCCTCAGTGAGATTCTACATTCATCCACCAACTAACCATAGCTGGCAGATATTATGTGCCATTCCATCCTCGTCTTCACTGGGAAATGCTTCTCTGTCCACCAGGACCCCGTTTTTCACTCCTCTTGAACCCAGGCGGGGAAACTGTTGACAATCATAACTACTCATCCCTAGAGACAGCTCTTACTATAGTTGAGTTGGAGGAAGCTCACTTACCCCCAGGAATTCCAGCTCCTTCTGCAAAAATGTCAGCCATGTATGGCGTGGTGGGGAAGGGGCTGTCTTTTGTGCTGGGTTATCTTGGGAAGATGAGCCTGAAATTTCAATTCCAGGCACGCTGAAGTGGAAACAGAAATTCAGCCATGAGAAAATTCTCTAACTCCCTGTGCAATATTCTCAACTGACACAAATGGAAGGTTTGATTTTTTTTCCCCAAGCAATTCTACAGTTGAAATTTTTGTTGTAATGCGTAACACCGAGACTCAGAGGTCCAAGTTAATGCCCAAGATCACCCTAATCAGGGGTTAGAACGAACAAAATGGAGACAAAAGCATGACAATATTTGTTCTTAACCCAGGGCCAGGCTTGCTACCAAATTCTTCCCCGTTAATCTATGCTGATCAGTAAAAATAAAACAAACCCACGCACACTATGCCTATGCATCCATGTCTTTTTAACATGAAAGTGTACCTGCCTGTTTTGTTTTGTCAGTGATACATCCAATTTCGCATACACAAAGGAATGATTTTTCAAGGACTGATGGACTCTATTCCTGTTTTCATCCAAAGGAGGAATCTAATGGCAATATTGTCCCTTCTAAAAGCTTGGGATATTCTTAATGTGTTGCAATGATATTCAGTCCAACATTCATCCCCCAAATTTTGTATTTTATGTCTCCCCAACCCTTTAAAAGTAAAGTCTTCCCATGAAGACATCCATGTTTGGTATTAAAAGAAAAATTCAATTATGTGCCTCTGTTGGACTGTCTATACATCCGCCACTCTTAACACCAGGCAGGACCGGACAGCTTGATCTTAACTGAAGTCCTTTTGCAAAGTCTACACCTTGACACACAACAGACTCAGAATCAAGGCGTCTACATTGATAGTAAAAACTCCCCAGCGTCACACCCAGATTGAGTCACTTTTGTTAGAAAAGTTATTCCTGGTTCATAAGCTGAGTTAAAAAAAAAAACCTTCTTCCCCATCAACCCAGAAGAACTATGGAGCAATAAAAGCAAACAGCTTCTTTATAGTTAGTGCAGTAGCTACATCCATGCATAGGTCCCGGAATTGGTATCTGTGATGGTCTCCCCAGCAGTGAGTGACCAGCAATAGAAAAAAGAAAGATCTAGACCCACCTGGAAGGCCACTGTGGGTCTGGGAGAATGAGATCATCTCTGCTCCTATCTTCTGTGTCCATTTTTTCAACTCACCGTGATGAAGAATACTGCTTATAAACAGGGTCAGTTCCTCTCATGGTACCTTCCAATGGGTGGGTGGGAGGGGCCAACTCACCCACAATGTCGATAAATATCTGTACAAGTATAACATTTTCCTGCAGATAATTTTTTTTCAACAATTAAGATAAACAGGGTCTTTTGTTTTGTTTTGTTTTTGCTGTTGTTGTTATAATGAAGAGCAAAACTGATTGGCTACTGAACCAGAGAGAATTAAGGAAATTAGAGGTTCCTCAAGAAGAGTTCTCCCTGAGGCCAGCCAGATTTACAGAACCGAAAAATGAGATTGTTTGTGGAGATGGAGAAGGTGAGAAATAATTACAGAACAGAAAAAGATGTCCTCTTCTGGAGCGTTCTTGACGTGTCGCAGCTGGGCCGTCTCTGGGCCAGATGTTCTCCAGCTGTGCCTCTGGAAATCCTGTCTTCCCTGAGCAGGGAAACGGGGCTTCTAGTATGTCCCAGCCGGTCTTAGCCTCCGACTCTGGGTTTGTCTCTAGTTACAAAGTGCATCATCTTTCGTTCTTGTCCCCCCCTTGGAAGGCTGGTGATGTGGCCCTCTGCACAGGTGACCTCAGAAGCCAGAGTTCTATCGTAACTGCTGGGGGCCATTCCTGATGGACTGTCAAAGCTAAAAAGGTCACTAGGGACTCCACTGTGGCTAAGGCATGGACCCTCCCTGGTGGCACAATGGGTTGGGGCACAACGCAATGAAGCCATCTGTAGCCGCTGAAGCACGAGTTCGATTCCCAGCCAGGGAGCTGACCCACATGGCGCAGCAGACCTCTCTGTCTCCCAGGTCCTCCCCTCAGCAATGTATTTCTGTAGATCTCCCTATTCTGCTCCCCATTCTGTCTCTGGTGGGTCCTGTCAACCCTGTGCCTCTGGTTCTTATATGCATAAATACATCAATAAATAAAGAGGACTCTGCTGCTCCATGGCCTGTGATACCAAGGACGGACAGACCACGGGAATACTTATGAGGACACCCTGGCAGCACCTGCACGGGGTGCCTGAATTAGGGTCAGGGCTGAACGAATGTGCTCATTTCAGTAACAAAGCTTGTTCGCCCAGAGCCAAACGGATGATACACAGCGAGCATCGCCGACCCGGGCTCTCTTGTGCCAGTTTCATGGAGACCTAACCTTGACTGATGCTTCATCATGCTGTAAGTACCCCACTTTGTGCCTGCGATCAACTGGGGTGTGGTAACAATGTTCCCCCAGCCACTAGGAAACTAAGATATCTGTGTGAATGGAGGGTGTTAAGGGATACAGTGCCACAATTTTCATAACCAAAGTGAATTAACTCATGGCCTATCTTCTTCCCAAGCTGCCTTCAGGAACTGGTGAACCTAACTGATGCGATCTTAGAACTGTAGGGTCAGTCTCCCCCCAAGGGAGAGGTGGGCTTTCGAGAGGTCAGTAGACACCTTTGAGAAGTCTGTTCTAATGGCTTAAAGAATGTGCTAGCAGGCAGGCTGAGGGGGACCCGAGAGACCCCAAACTTGCATACTGTATGGGATGTGGCCATCTGCTGCATAAAGACAAAGCAGAGCCTCAGTGTGTAAGAGCTTTAATAAAATAATTGTGCATAGAGAGGAAAGAAGGTAAAGGCTAATAGTTCACAATGAAACGTACAAAGTTGCCAGCCGCTCTGGGTGAATGTCTAACCAAACAGGGCTGGCCAGAAAGGGGGGTGCTTACATCCCAGGCTTGCCTGGCCCCTTTTGCCTCTTTCCTATGGCTCCCCAACAAAAGGAACCTTAGATTTGTGCCAAAGTAGCTCTGCTTTGGTCCAAGCCTTTCGCTGGACATTGACCGCCAGGGGTGAGTAACTTTGGGAAACTTACCCTTTCTCCTCTTCTCTCTCTGCACGCTGTTCTGTTCAAGTTCTTTCACACTGAGAGTATAGTTTCTCTTTATGTGGCAGGTGGCGGATCCGTTTAGAGTGCTCAGGTTTGGGGGATGCTGGGGTACCCCTCAGCTTGTCTGCTAACGTTTGGACAAGAGGCTGTTTTGTGAGAATTTTCAACAGAACCTTATAAAGTGGAAATTCAAGATAAAGGCACACCTTGTGACAGCCAAATTGTTCTATACCCTCAATTCACTAGCACCCCTCCCTCGGACACCCCACCCCTCTGGAGAGGCTCATATCCTGTGCCCACACTTTGGGTCCTGAATCATGCTTTTTCACCTTTCACAGTAAATGTTGAAACCTGACAAAATAACACTTTTCCTTTTTTTTTTTTTTTTTTTGGTGAGGGCACAGTTATCAAGATGGGTCTTGATCACGCTGTTGTCTGAAAGGAAGAGATAGCAGAGCCAATTCCTCCCCACCCACAGGCTTCCCCTTTCTGACAGGACTTTTGCACACACTTGACGTCCTCTCCGCCTCTGCTCACCTCCTGGAGAAGCGGAGTTTGTGTTGTCAGTGTTACCTCAATAAAAAGAAAACCAGTCAAATAAAAATGCGAGCCACGAATTCTGGCTCTCACCAACTTTCTGCATTTCCATTTGATGATTTTTGACAACCTTGCAAAGCAGAAAAATAAACTGAGCCACAACGTATCGCTGATGATCAAATGTAAACTTGACAAAATGTGAATGATACTTGAAAAAGAATTCTTCTCTTTATTACATACTGGATTAGTTTTCCCAAGCGCCTAAGAAATGTACTCCCACACATAAACTGAGCAACTGTGTTCTCTAACTGATGCACAATTAAATATGCACAAATTTGCATGCTACAAATTGCAGATTTTACTCTCCTAGGGGGCATTGTTGGGGGAGGGGAGGAGTCCGTGTGGAGGATTTAAGGCTTCCTCTCCCCCTCTGTTTTGGTGGGCTTTCTAACTTGGGGTGCCAGTTATCTGCTGGATGTCTGGGCTGGAGTGCTGGCCTTACGCACAGAAGGTGTCTTGGCCACAGTCTGCATTCCTGGCGCTGGGTTGGTTTCTCTGGTCAACAAGTCCATCGGAGGCCCCGGTTCCCACAGCAACCTTAGCAATCCCTCTATTTAAACCTCCCAAATCTGCCTTCTGGGCAAGGAGAGAGGGCTTCGATTTTAACCATAATAAAAGATAACAGCATATAATTTGGGGGCTCACAGCTCTTCAGATGTGTGTTACAACTCCAAGTCCACCATCAAAACACCCATTATTCCCCTCCACATGTCACTGGGCCCTCTCTCCACATCAATGCTCCAGAGGAATTATTGACAGGGGACTTCTGGTTCTGAAGATGTTTTGATCTAATAATATTCTGATACGACGTATGATGGTCACTACAGGCTATCACATCTGCATTTCTAAAGGCCACGTCTGGAGGTACAAACGCTTGGTACCTGTTCTTTAAACTTTTTTATCTGGTTCCTTGGACTTGAGTACGGATTGAAAGGCTGGTTTACCTTAGAGCAGTAGATCCCTGCTTAGATGACAGGATGGAGTCTCTTAAGACTCGAGTCTATGCAGTTGTCTTTGCTCAGGGAGAGATCCTGGAGAGTGTTAGGATATGTGTGTACCTTTCTGACATTGGAGTTGACTTGCTGGCTCAGACTCTGGGCTACTTAACTGCCCAGGCCCAGTGTTCTTTAATTGCTTATGCCATTTCCGCCTTCCAAAGTGACACTTTCCAGGGGCACTCCCTGGTGACACAAGGGGTTCATCTCCGCACTGTGAAGTGATTGGCAATCACTGCAGTACAAGTTCGACCCTGAGTTCGATCCCTGGCCAGGGAGCTGACCCCCATGGTGCAGCAGACCTGTTCTGTCTCCCCGCTGTTCCCTTCAGCAGTGTATTTCAATAGATCTGCCTGTCCTGTTCTCCGCTCTGTCTCTGGTGAATCCTCTCACCTCCCGCACCTCTGGCCTATACCACAGTTCTTGTATGAGTAAATAAATCTTTTTAAAAAAAAAAAAAAGCACAAAGTGAAACTTTCCATAGGGAAAATTACAAATATAATTTTGTTCTCTTATAACCAAGAACATCTGTTCAAGAAGGATAATTACGAGACCCCTCCCATAACGTCTAAGGTATAGACAGTAGCTATTCTGTTCTTAGAATGGATGATAAGCATGCTAATTTCTACATCTATTCTTCCATTCCCCATATCCTCCTCCTAATATAATTATATCTCATTAAAAAATAGTAAGTAAATGACAGATCCAAAATGAAATCTACCATGTCAGACCCCCTCAAGACTGACGCCTAACCTGAATGCAGTTTCAGACTCTCCCATGAGTGGGGCTCTAAACTGATCATTCTGGACTTTCCTCCTCAGCACTAGTACAAGTTTCTCCTGACTGTTGTGAGAATGTAGGAACTGGATTTATAGGCTCGTGTCCTCCAGAGGTCATGGATGAGGCTCTGAATCACTGGGGATTTGCAGTTGAGTTTCCTTAGTTTTCACCAGGAGGCATTCCTGATTCCACAGAATTGGGAGGTGAGGAAATTGCCTGGAAAGTAAGACATCAAGCTTGAGGAATGAAATCATCACTTCCCTCTCCTTCCCTTGACCATCCAGCTCAATGCCAATCACACTCATTCAGCCACTATGACTGTGCCCTCCACAGGATTCCATGCACAGCCAACATCAGAAGAAAGAAAAGGTGCTAGCATCTTACAGCTATCTAAATCCAGAAAGAATTTGTGATTTTTCTGGATACATTGCTAGAAAATGGCAAGTCACAAGAAAATAATAAAACAGTTCTACTTGTATTTTAAAAATTATTCAGTTCGAGATTAAATATACTATTTCCTCTTACAAGGTCGCATCAGAATTCTTTCCCAGCTTGCACTTCACCTCTGACCTTCAAACCACCTGTAACTCCAGGAGCCCACAAATCACTGTCAACATTTCTTCCCAATTGTAAGAGTTTCAGAGACATCCTCAAGCCCTAAAAGGACCAAGTGAGTGATCAGGCTGGTAAACAAACCCACCTCTCTTGAATTACAGCTGTTTGCTTTGCACCACATGGCTGAGACCGCGAGGGTCACACACAGTTCCAGCACGGTAAGGAGCAGCATTACAGACAGCAGGCCCTACAGTCAGGATGCCGCAGGTCAACCAGAAGCAGTCAGAGTTACAATGTGAGCAACATCTAGACTAAAAAATTCCCTCCCACAAAACAGAACAAAGCCAACCCTGAATTAAGTTTAAGACACAGACATGTACCAGAATACTCTAGGCGGGGTGGTGCAAATCTAAAAGCATGGGAACACGCTCCCTGGAGAGCAAGTTGCGTCCCTCTGTCACCCTGGCAGGGTCTTTGTGGGGGGAATCTGCCGTCAAAATTCTGAGTTTCACTCACCAGTGGAAGCCAGAAGTGTGTGAGCTAGAACTGAGGAGATGGATAAACAGTAGAATGGGCGGCATTTGAGCACTACCATTCAGTAAAAATCCTTCATAGAGGGCTAGGCGTGTGCACTACTGCTAGGAACTGAAACACTAAGGTGAAACATTAAACACAAATTACTAGACCAGTGATCCTTTGGTTATCATGGAAGGTACCTAGAAAGGGCAATGAAAATTGTTTTGGAAGGAAAAACCACATCATCCACTAAAAAATCAGACCCATATAAATGCAAACATAGAACACTAAAAAGATAATCAAGAAAATGAGGACAATGTTTCATGAGTAGTGTCAGTTAATAAAGGGATTAGGAATGAGTCAATAAAAATCGTTCGGAGATCATCATGAGAAAATGAACAAATTTAAAGGCAAGTGTAAATTTTGAATTTGACCCCAGAGGAGGGAGAATAACTGAAAGCAAGCAAAAAATAATTTGGAAAGAATATTAAAGACCTTCCCTTTGAAATACCATACTCAAATAAATTAAAAAGTGGAATCATTTGAAAATTTAACTAGTCATCATTTGAAAGTCCCAGACCACAGAGGAAGTTGTAAACCTCCAAAGTTAGACATAGTAATTAAAATGTGAGATAAAAGTTTAAAAAATTAATTTATCTGGGGAATGTAATAGTGGCCACAAGTGTACTGCCAATAATAAACCAAAGCATTTCATGTTTGGTGAAGGCCAGAAAGAACAAGAAAAATATGGGATGGTTTCACTCATACCAGGAGCATAAGGGGCCAAGGGGAAAAAAGCAATTGGAATAAAGAAAAAATGAAAAACAATGAACAACTATAAACCAGAGACATTTTACGGGGGTGGAGTGGGGAATGGGATCAAAACTGGGTGGGGTGGGAAGAGCGCACGGGACTTGGTGATGGCACACGGTCGAATTGGTGGTGGGAAGTCCATGGGGATTCTAACTGAGATGGAAAAATACACAAAATGAAGAATGATGTGAAAAATAAAGAAAAGAGAAAAAAATAGACAGCATGGTAAACATATTTTAATTTACTTTTCTAGTATTAAGTTATTTTCTCCCTAGATCAACCCTGTGAAATGGATGTTATCAATATCCTCACTTCAAAAATGAGAAAAGTAAGACATAGAGACTTATGTAATTTTCAGAGCCAAGGTTCAAATCAAGGAAGCAAGCTTGGTACCTGCTATATACTTTGGATGGTTTAAAGTATTTTCAAATTAATTTATAAAATTATAAACATAATTTTTTAAAAAACATACATTTGATAAGTTGCCCATTAAAACGCATAAGCCTCCAGACGATGAAAACCGACAATTCTTGAGAGCCTGCACATTAACTGCTAAATTTATGGAGAGAAAAATAATCCCAACTAGTGCAATTGTTGCGCTGGCAATGTTCATCCCAAAACTGTTTTGCATCTGAAAAAGAATACAGCACATATTTCATTTCTTCCACTACAATTAACTTCACAAACATCAACTGAAGTTTGTTTATATACTAAGCAATATTGTAGATGCTGACATCCAGCATCCAGAAACAAACAAGACATCCAGAAACAAACCCACCCTCATTGAACTGAAGTCCCATGAACAAAGACAAACAATTAGAAGAAAACAAAATAGGTGGAAGAAACCAGCCAATCACACTAAATGAAGAGATTATTGGAAGGAGGGATGAGTCACCAGCCATCGCTCACAGGTGAAGTTAGGTGAGGGTGGAGAATCAAGCCCTAACCATTCCTGGGATGTGATGGGGAACTTCCGTGATCTTTAGGAATACAGCTAGAGATGGGTTGGTAGGTAGGAAAATAACGCCTCATGGGAATGGATTTAGTTGAAACTATATAGATAGGAAGTAGAGACGGAGCCCACTAAATTCCTTTAAGGAGTTGAACAATAGGAGGAAAAAAGAATTTTGCTTATAGCAAACAGGAGAAAATAGAATCAAGATATTGTTTTCTTAAACTCTGAACAGTCATTGGATGCTAAAAGGCAGAATGAAATGATCTAATAGAGAAATTATTGTGAAGTACTTGTGTAAGTTAAAGGCATGGAAACTGGTATTCAAGTACGGGGAGTGAGCGGTTCTTAGGAAAATCACAAAAAGTTCACCTGAGGCAAGAGGTTAGGATGAATGATGGATGAGTGCAGGTCTGGGTCACTAAGTGTGTTTACAGTGGGCTTCTGAAAACGCTTCTGATGCCTTGGGCTTTCTCACAATAGCAAGATCAAGAGAGTAAAGATGGGGCTTGAACAGTGCCAAGTTGAGATAGACAAGCAGAGGGGTGGACTAAGTGAGCAGTATGTTGGGCAGGTGATTTAGTGAGAATACATAATAAAGACTTAGTAACTGTTCAGTGAATCAGTAAAGGAATTTTGGCTTTCAGTTGTAGAACTAGTGGTAGGAGAACATACACTCAAAATAATCAGAAGTAGTTTAATTTAGCAACATGAAAAAAATCAAGAAACTCTTTTGTAGGCTTCAGATACATCATATTTTCCTAGTAAGCATCTGGTCAGACTCTAGTAAACATATTCACTCCCTGTATGATACTTTGATATGGTACCATCTAAATGTCTTAAGAAAAAATTAATTTTCTCTACATTAAATGAAACTGTGTCCATTGTAGTCACCGACCTCTATTCTCAGACTGTTAATGGCTAATATTTCTACTCCTGTAAACATAGAAAAAGAGGATGAACTAATACTTACCAACATTCTTGTGGGTTTTCTCCCGGCTGCAACAGAAAGGGATCCTGAACAAATAAACTGTTTAAAATAGGAAATGAAACAGAGAGGGAATATTAAGACTCAAGTATATTTTTTGTCTTGGCCTTCCCTTTGATAGTAGATACATAGCAAAATGTGTTCAAAACTTCTTTTCTAAATTCATATCCTAGGACATAAAATTACACTTACTATTACTCATCATTTTCTATGAATGGAATTTTAAAATTAGCTTACATTTTGAGTAAATTTATAAACTTTTTGTTTTAGATCTGATTTTTTTACAGGTTTATGAAAATGTGCATGCTTTAAAGACATAATAAATAGAATTATTTTTATTGCATTTTTGTTGAAGTAGCATTGTTTTGTAATAGTATATATAATTCAGAGCTATGTATAACATAATAGTCTTTATGCCTATATTCATCTAATATTAAATGTACATAATATTTACTTATATAACCATGGATAGGTATTATTATTCTCATATTCTTGCCCAAGCTTCAGATAAGGGATTAATTTACCGGATTAGATTTTCTAAAAGATCCTTTACAAATGTGAATGCTTATATACTGCTATCTGCTTTTTAAATTATGTTTTTGATATATAAAATCATACTTACATAAATTTTTATATATTCATGGTTATATGTAATACAATAAAATTATTTTTATATTGTATACAATTATAATACAAAATTATATTTTTGACATGCAATCATTTTCATGACTCTAATTTTGATAATTCCCTACATATTCAAGTTTTCTCAAAACTTCATTCTGGTTTTTTACTTCATAAATCTTAAATGAACTTAGTAAGACATTCTATGATTTGAGGAACCAGTTGCCAACTCCATCAAGCAAAGGCTTGCCTCAGAAAATTCAGTTGCTGAATTCTAGTTGAACAGGAAGAAACAAGAAGGCTTGGAGCTCTGTTTCAAGTTATAAAGACATTATCACAGGACCTCTGGAGTCACCACAAAGATGTGGATAAAAGCATACATGCTGTGTTCAGAGTCCTCCTTCAGCTTAGACAAACTCTCAAGGCCCCCTACAGCTCAGGGTCTTATCTGCAAATGTAGTTTATATCCCTTCGTTAACATTACTTACCTGTAGTCATGTGGGGATAAAATGAAATCGCATACATCAAGGGCTTAGCTATGTGTTCAGCACACAGCATTCAAGTTATTAACTATAGCTAAGTTAAACATATTTTTATTTCATTTCATTTCATTTCTCAGTGACCCAAAGAACCCTCATCTTATTTCTATCATACTAGTGAGGAAGCTGAAGGGGGATCACTTAAATATCTTTTCCAAATTTGCAGTTAATAAAGATTAGTAAGAGAACAGAAGGAATCACACAGTCAGCACCCAGCAGGGCATGCATACAGGGAGGGGAGGACCTGGGTGAGGAGAAGAGGTGTGAGCCCTTGGGGAGAGCAGACTGAAGGGCTTTGGACCATGTCATGGATCTTAGACTTGACTTTGTACGTATCAGGGAGCCAGACAGAAGCTTCCAGCGATAGGACTACACTGGTCAGATTGAAACTTTAATAAATCTAATGAATCTTTAATAAAATTTAATGAATCTTTAATAAAACTCTGGCTCCCTGACTGTGGCTTTTTTCCCCCCACAAACTAAACTCATTTTCTGAGAAAAGAGAACTCTTTTCTGACTGACTCGTTGAAACATTGCATTTGTTTTATACAACACAGGGAAGAAAAGATTCACTCTATTCCACCAAAATGATATTAAATCTTAAAATTTCAGAAATATTAAATCTGAATCACATGACTTGGACTGAATCCAGAAAACATATAAAGTTGTCTGTCATGCTATGAGATCTGATTTTGGCCAAATCAGTGAGCAATTTCTTCTGAAAGGCGATCGAAAGCTTTTTGATTTTGAGAAAACAAAAGCATGAATAAATTAGAGTCCAAGACTTGTTATATTCTTTTCCCTCGTCGGACAATGTAATCACTGTTTGGAGTCAAAGGGTCCCATCCCTCTATGGTGCGTCTTTGCTTTCATGTTCAATCTGAGACAAAACAGACATTTCTCAAAGATCTGGTACCAGGGTAAACAAACAAACGAAAGTGGCTGATTAATAAACAGCCATCTGCACTGGGTGACTCGGTGATGGGAAACCTGCAGGGATTACAATTGAGATGGAAAAATATATATACAAAATGATGTAAAAATAAACTGTTATAAATATATATGTATTTATAAACTGTTATAAATATATATATTTATATAAATATATGTATTTAACAGGCTAAAAAATAAAAATAAAAATAAATAAATAGCCATCTGGTGACAAAACTGAATTAATACATTTTAAAATCACCTAGAACCAAAGTCCATTACATCGATGACATTTTGATCTAAAGAGGGATTGTAGCCCTTCTGGTCTTCAGACAGGAATCACCGGGAAAGTTTCTTATCTCCCCGCACAACCTCGTGCTTGCAAGGGGATTCACCAGTACTCATTTTTCATTCAACACACTCAGCACCCATAAGTTTAATCCATAGACATTAAGTTAATGCTTGGGACTTGATTTATACTCAACAAATGTGGCTTCTTAACTACAAAGATGCTTTGGACTTAAAACTTTTTGTGTTTCGGGAATGACAAACCAAACGCACAATATGCAACTTTCTGATGACTTTTCCAAGAACAACAATAATCAAGCGCATCTGGCCGACTGGTGTTTCAGGAATGAGCCTAGCCAGAGCACGCGCGTACTCACCAGCACGGCGCCCCACAGTGGGTAGGCTGTGTACAAGATGAAGAAGTAGTGCTTGAAGAGGCTGAATACGTCCAGTAAGGAACCCAGAACAATGCCCAGTGCCAGAACCATGGCTCCTGTCAGGATCTGGACGGCCTGTGAGGAAGGCGGGGGGTTGGGGGGCAGTAAAAGGAACAACAGCCATAAACGACTGGACTTTGAATTGTCCTCCAGAGGCAACAGTCGGTGCCTGACATGGTGAAAGGAAGTCAAGCCTCCATGAACTGGGCAAGTACGTACCCTGGGAGAGCTTTTGGTTCCTAGCTCTACCTGCTGGTTGCTATGGCAACCCTTCCCCTTCACCTCTCCCCTCACTTCCACTTGCTCTCACCTGCCCTTCGGGAAGAGTAAGGGCGCAATGACTGACATCATCAGACTGGTGAAACAGTCCAGAGATCCTCCCGGCATGCTTTGGGGCCATAGAGTGATGAAGGCGGACAGGTGTTAAACAGCATTTCCGTAACTTGGCCCTTCTTCACCCAATTTTTTAGCTTAAACTATGAAATAGGAGTTCCTAGACCTTGGTCTCCCGATGTGGGTGGCTAGATTGGAGCCCGTCCTCCCTTGTGGAGTGGTGAGGATGTTCTCAACCACCTCAGATCTAGGATACACCCAGCCTCACCTTAAAGGAGCAACGTCATAGCCTTAGGGGTAACGCAGAAATCCCCACCCCACCCCCGACTCCCGCCAATCCCTTGTGGCATAACTAAGATTTTCCTAACGGTGTTTGTTGATGTTTTTCCATGATAAACCAACTTTTTAATGAAGGTTGACTTACCCCCAAGGCTTGCAGCTCTCCCTTCTGGTCCTCCTGTGGTCTATCAGCGGGCTGGTAGGGGGGTTCATACGCCCCCTGTGGGGCCGCATGGCTTCCTCGGGCACCATCTGCGAAGGCTGAGGCAGGGGCTGTCCCCAGCTCTGCACTGTCAACTTCTTGGGAGGCCATTTGGGGCTGTCAGTGGCTGTGACAGAAAGGAAATCCAGCGGCTTGGTTTTACCCCTTTTCCACTAGTTAATAATACTTTTCAGTGCCACGGAGGGGTTTGCTTTTCTGAATACATCAAATCAACATGACTACCCAAATAGAGCATGCGGCACAATGACAGTGTCTGTACATTATCAATCCAGTTTTGTCTGGAGCAGCATACAGCAAGTAACTGGGGCTGGGCTGGGTGCCTCATTTAATGCACGAGCCATGACCTTCTCGTTTTCTCTTGCAGCTGTATTTCTGTATCCCTGCCTCTCGCTCCCTTTTTAAGATTTATTTATTTATTTATGCACACGAGAAATGGGGTACAGGCCAGAGTTGTGGGGCTGAGAGGATTCACCAGAGACAGAGTGGGGGGCAGAACAAGCAGATCAACTGAAATTCACTGTTGAGGGGAGCAGCGCAGTAGGTCAGGGGAAGTCTACCGTGCCATGAGGGTCTCCTCCCTGGCAGGGATAGATCCCTGCTGCAAGGGCTGTGGACAGCCTCATAGTGCCACACCCTAGCCCCTTGCACCACCAGGAAGGACCCTCCCTGCCTCTCTTTAAATCAGTCCTGAACAACCACAGCACATCATTTCAACGGCTTTAATTGCATTCTAAAAACAAAAGATATCATTCAAATTCAATGTTGCAATATTATTCCTATTTTAAAAGTGAGGAAATTGAGGCATAAACAGATTAACTTGCTCAAATTTAGAGTTTATACATGAATTCAGATCCTATTAGAGGCATTCTATTTTAAGAACCAATTTTATTATGAACAGATAATTTATTTACCTCTCAAGCTCACACTACACGATAAATAATATCGGATCCTTGGTATAATCACTTCTTGATTATCCAGTAATATAGCAGGCCTTGCGTAGAGGCCGGTGGCTGACTTAACTTGGTCTACAACAGGGAGCTATTTTGGAACACACTTCCATCAGTCATGGAGAAGAAAGAAATGATCTAAGGTTGATCTTGAGATCAAAAGTCAAAGAAGATATCAGGGGAAATGACAGAATAATAAAGCATTCAAGTGTGCATTGTATGATATCAGTCTGGAAAATGTTTGAAGGAAAAATATGTTGATAGCAAACCATTTCAATGAATACCTAATATACTCTGTGCAAGATATACAATAATTTGAAAGGGCCAAAGGGAGAATAATCTTTAGATCTCTTATCTATGTTGAACATCACTTTGCAAATCCTAAGCTAAAAGTTAACCCACTGGGAATATGTATCTATTTCAGGTGCAACTTCTAACATAGGTGAGGTGAGAGGTCCCTCAGAACAGAGAGTGACTCCTTACTTCTATTTCCAGCTTCATTACTTACTCCTTGCTCTGCAAAACTCACTCTAGGCTTTTCTATTCCTTTCAGTCCTCCCTACACCAAGATTTCAAAAGGCTTGACCCCCTCTCAATGCTATTCCCTTCTTCCTGGAACCTTTGTGCCCCAATCTCCACGTAGGTAGTTTCTGCTCTTCTACCAGACAGGGTCTCAGCACACATGACAGAACTTCTCAAGGAAGTCTTGTTTAGTTCTGGCGAAGCCTAAATGAGGAACCCTTCCAAGAAGACTCAAAAATAAAGATTTTTGAGAAGGAAAGCCTCTGAAACTACTTATCAGTCAGCTGACTAAACGCTTGTCAGTTTCCTGCTGTCTGATTATTCTAATTCCAGTGTTGAACTCAGTATCTGCCACACAGCTAATATATGTTTGATAATAGCTGATATTTTGGTCCAGCTTTATGGATGGATGACAGTGAAAAATACATTTGTAACCACTGGAGTGTCTTTTATAGAAAAACTCCAGAGCTGCTCTGGGAGAAAGAAATCTAACCACATTATTAAATTGACATTAAAATAACCATAAATAGCAGGGGGCGAGTCCTAAGAGTTCCCCAGTTGAGTTGTCTACCCAGTTCCAGAGTGTTAGGTGTTCAGTGTTTACTCTGATTAAACAGCTTTGTTCTCATAACCTCTGGGTGAATAGGTTCCAATTAGGAAAGTGAGCACCAGTAAAGTAACTTGCCTGAGGCCACACAGCCAGCATACTCCAGAGTCAGCGGTCAGAACCTGACAACCTGGATCTGGAGTATCATTTCCTGATACCGTCCCTTTGAGCTTATGCAGAACTCACTCACCAAATCTTATACTTCAAGCATGTCAAGATTATCCCTCTTAGTAGAGCAGGAAGACACATCTAGGTGCGGACACTTGGATTTAATATCTATATAATTCCTGTGTGTGTGTGTGTGTGTGTGTGTGTGTATCCATGCCTATCTTTCCAAAGAAATAACTACAAGTATGTCTAACTTTATGGCATCAGGTAACAAATCAAATTCTAAGGGGTATCCATCCTCATAGCCAAATATCTAACCACCAAATATCTTGGCAGACATCCATCAATTGTCCCTTTAACAGAGTGTAGAGAAGGGGGCTTTCTGCGGAGAAAAGTCTAGAAAGTTACCTCAGAGTCTCCGGGCTTCCGCAGACTTCTCTCCTTTGAAGCCCATCTCGTTGTGAGGAGACTCAGTAGTGGGCTTAGTAGAGTCTCTTCCTTCTCCTCAATGTTCCTTTGCCTGACGCAATGCCTTGCTGGAGTCGGTGAACTCTTTTATTGGCAGACTAGGGAATGTTTTCACCACACCACAGTGTTGAGGACTGTGCTGGTGAGGAAACTTGGGCCAGGAGTAACTGTCTCCTGGCTTTGAGATGTTGCTTAACACATCACTGAGGAAGAAATGCAAACAGAAAATACGGGTGGGCTGGAAAGGATTGTGGAATGCAGGTAGGACAGTTATTCGTATAGGAAGAGGAAACAAAGAAAGAATAGTGTCTGATGGGGGAAGAATTGCACTGGATTCTCACAGGACGGGAAAGATTGGTGGGCCAGATTATGCTAATTGTGGCTTAATGCTTGAAATGATATCATGCAACACTGTTCTAAATGCTTTACTTGCATTAACTCCCAATAGCCTGAGATCTGGGGACAGAGATGGATTCTCAGGAGCTGCAACTTGAAGCAAAGCTACATATAAGGAAACCAGATCATTGAATATTTTTGTTCAGCTCCTCAAGTTGTAACAGCATGGAAGGAAGCATTCATACAGCTGTTAGTGCAGTTTCATGGAAGAGAAAACTGTGGCCTCAAGGTACTAACCAACTTGCTTAACATCACAGAGAAAACAGCCAGTGCAAAGCCCAGCTGAGTGTGGTGAAGTCTAGGTTGTCCTGGGACCTCAGTGCAAAGCAAGAAGGATCCTAGTGCATAGCAAAAGCAAGAAGGATCTTAGTTCTGGAAACTTGAGAATAAGTAGGGACTCAATCCCAAGAAAGTGGAGGCCACCCATCATGGCTGAAGGACATGAGTGCAGAGAGATAAAGTCTGTGCGTGGGCCCAGTAGCCAGAAAACTGAACACACAAGGGCTCTGTGACCAGTGTTGTCACCTGAGTCTGGGCAGAGACTCTGAAGGGCCTGCCTGAGCGCTGAGAGAGGAGACTGACCACAGTGACCTAAACAGAAATCGTGAGGAAATAACTAAAGGGAGAGCAGTGAAAGCTGTGATCCTCCCTGTCTCATTTTAGTCAGAGACATTGCAAATGAAATAGAAAAGGAAGGGCAAGAAAGGCTTATAATAAGTGATGATGTTCATTGCAGCCCTGTATATAACAGCCACGAGATAGAAGCAACTTAAGTGCCTGACAAATAAAGGGATGAGGAAGATGTGGTATATGTACATAATGGAATACTACTCAGCTATAAAAAAGGAAAGAGATGAAATCTTGCTTTTGCAACAACATAGGTGAAACTGGGGAAGGAGTTTGTGCTAGGTGAAATAAGTCAGAAAGAGACAAATGCTTGCTGATTTCATTCATAACTAGAATATAAAGAAACTAAACAAAGGAATAACAAAACTAAAAAACTAAACCAAAACAAATCCTAGCTATCTCACTGAAGAATTGAGGTCACCAGAGAAGGAAGCATGATAGGTGGGGAGCCAACAGGGTGGAGGCCAGTAGATGTGGTAGAGGACAATGGGTACTTAGTGGTGGCTGTAGGTGGTCACATCCACCTGAGGAGACAGAAATCTATACCCCTAAGGCGTACACAGTGTTGCAAGCCAATGTTACCGCAATTTAAAAAAACAAAAATTCTACTTAAAAAATTGCTTGAGAAAAAGAGGAAGAAACAGGAGGAAGTGAAAAAAATAGTTCCTTTCAACATGGTGGCTTTAAATTTAGAGCTGTAGAATGAGTGCTGAAAGGAAGTTACTAGAGGTTTTCAGTTATCACATTTGCAAATTTAAAATCATAGTACCCACCTTAGACTACAGTATAAAGATTGGGACAAAATGTGAAGGAGTTAGCAGCTAAGATCTGTATATATATTCAGAATAAATTCACACAAAGGAGATGTCTTCCATTCCAAAGTGAGAGAAGGATTTTGAGAAACTTTGTCAAGAGACAACATTCATACTGATTTCTTCCTCTTCCATACATACCTAATTGTAAAGGGGGATGTTTTCATGGGGGATAGTTTTTAGTGCTGAAATAGGATCATGAAAGATCCAGTTCTGTTGATCTCAGGGATCATGGACCCTGGATGCAGAAAGAACTGAGTCACAGAGACTTGAGTGAGGGACTGAGCTCCAGGCTTCAGTGTCAGTCTTTATTTTTCCAGGGATTTTATTTCCATCTTCTCAGCATTAGACAATACAGAAGGCATTCTAAACACAATGTAAATGTAACATTTCACCATAGATCTTCTGTCAATTATCTGTGAAAACTGTATGTGGCATTAAAACATGCAGGTAATACTCACAATTAAGGTTCTACATTATCAAATTAAGGCAGACATTAAGGTAAGGATGAAAGTCATACATTGTAAGGCTTTTTGAGGAACATTAACCACCTCTGCCCAGGAAGGACATTCCTTGTGTCCAGATTGAAAGGAAAAAGGACGGAGAGGAGGGACAGACGCCATGAGTCTGTTGCCAAGTTCTGTGACCGGCCTCAAGAAAGGAAGGCTTGAGGTAGAAAGGCTGGGCAAGCAGAGTTTATTGCTCCAGGACAGCAGCTGAGACGGAGCCCCTAGAGTGGGATCTGCAACCACTGCCCACCCAATAAGGGGGAAGGGTCTCTTATATAGATTCTAAACTCAGACTCCAAAGGGGGTGACTCATCGCTGTGTCCTTGATGTGAGGCCCAGTCCGTTATCACCTTCAGCTAGTCCCGTCCCGGATACAAGGTCAGTTTATTACCACCTTATCATTCCTTGAATGCAAGGCCTTTACCGCCCTAATGCAGTCCTTGTGAGTAAATCTTTAGTCACTCCCAACACAGATGATGGGTCTAGGGAGAACCAGAACAAAATAGTTTGCTCAAGGTTCATCCCAGGAGGTCTAGCCAATGTGACCCCGAGGTCCATTTTGGGTCCTGTTTGTGCGAGTGTACTCATGGTAACCTCACCATATTCCACAGTTGCACCTGGCTGGACTCTTTCTCCAAGTTCAAAATTCAAGTTGCTAATTTCCAAAAAGAAAACATTTTCATATGAAGGAAGTCAATATTCTAGCTGTTTATCCACAAAGGATGCATGAGACTATTTTTAGGGTGATTTACTTTTTGTACTTGCTTGCTTTAATCCATTTACTAAATTTCATTGCTCACTGTATTGGTATTATCCCCTTTGCCAAAAAGAAGAGTTTTGAGTAGAAGGAAAGAAGTTCCATTTACTTGCTGACAATACAGAAGGCGTTATGTATAAGAAGGGTAGCAGTAGTGTGTGACAGGGACCTTTCTGCCCACTAGCAGTCAGTAAACAACCATAAGCAGTTTGATCATCTAATAACCCCTTCTTAGGTGACAGAATGATTTGGTGCTTGACCAATTCAGTCATTTCAAGTGTGGGAGAGTCATCACATTCAGTCAGGTGTGGGAGAATCATCACAAGTCATTTCAAATATGGGAGAATCAAATCAATGAGAAAGAAACATATGATATCAAATTTCAGTGAAGGGAGTGTTCCCTTAAATTCTATACAATGACTCTAACTTTCTTCTACAGTAATTATTCAAATAGGATGTACGTTGAGTTATTTTTAGGAGGCCCACCCAAGATCAATGATTTTCGCATAAAAGCCTTTGTCTTTCCTGGGACTTAAGATGTTACAACTTAAATTCTACACAAAATGTGCAATCTGGCCCTTTTATACAACAATTTTCCACTTTTTTTTTTAAAGATTTATTTATTTATGCATACAGGACTGGGTACAAGCCAGAGGTTCAGGGTCAGTGAGAAGATTCACCAGAGACAGAGAGGGGAGCAGAACAGGCAGATTGACAAGTACACTGCTGAGGGGAGCAGCGAGCAGTCAGGAGAGGTCTACAGCGCCATGTGGGTCAGCTCCACGGTGGGGGATCGAACTCATGCTGAAGTGGCTTTAGCTTCTTAGTGCTGTGTTTTAACTGCTGCACCACCAGGGAGGGCCCCAATTTTTTACTTTTAATTAAAAAAAATATTTAGAACCTAATCCTTGAAGATTCCTGTGAAATTGATCAAATTGTCATGGAGAACATGTTGCTGGATCTACAATAGAGAACAGAAAATAACATTTAAATGAGTGATACTTATTAACATTAAATAAGTCATACCCCTAATGAATAAAAATATGTTAAAAAAAAAAACACTTCGTTATATCAGGAAGTCCACTGAATTGGGAATTTTTTAGGGAATCTGACATCTGAAGTATGGTTGATACCAATTAATTATTTTACATGAAAAAAACTTTGCTTTTCTAGTAAATTTTGTGAGTCCATTTCCAGTTTGCCATTTCTCTTTAATGAGGGAGTCACTTAGTAATCCAATCTCTTCTAGTGCAGTCTCAAAATCAGTCATGAAAGGACTGGGATCCACTTTTACTTCATCATCTGTAGAAACTGGCATAAGCCACACTGATCTCCTGAGGAAAGAGAAACAGATAACTGAGAGATTGGCACCCTCAGATCCTGGGCTTTCTGAGTCTCTACTTCAGGACAAGGCATTTTTACCACCATTTTATAACACCGGCATGTTCAACGTGCTGAGTTAGGAGCGTTGCATAGAGCCTACACTGTCTGGACAGTGGGTGAGTTGTAAGCTGGCAATAATAGATGCAATGAAAATGTCCAGGAAAATAGACTTAGAGAAATGGACCCTAAGAATGGTGAGAGGTGTGAAACAATCAGACCCAGTCCCAGATTCAGAGTAGTAGTAACAAAGAGACAAAGAAGTTGTGTGTGTGTGTGTGTGTGTGTGTGTGTGTGTGTCCAGTTTTGTTGGCCAATTCATTACCTTTTCTAAGGAAAATAAATTGCAAGCACTATAATTACTATTTAAATGAGAATGCTGATCTCTATTGAGATGAATAGTGATGACCCAAGTATATTAACATTACTGTAAGCCCTGGCCTGTATAAGAATAAAAATAGGTGTGTATGTGTGTGTGTGTGCATGTGTGTGCACAGATTCCAGTGTTGGTTCCGACTGAGGGTCAGTTGTTTTCCAGAATGGGCATTCAATCCCTCAGTCTTGATTTTGCCTCAAGAAAATGTTACACCATGCCCTGAATGTGCTTGCTGCCCTTGAACAATACTCAAAAATGGGGAATTTCATTTAATGCAAATCTTACCATGATAAAAATACCAAAGAAAAAGAAAACTCGGATCATGTTAAAAGACATTGCACATTTGCTCAGAGCTCTGAATTCTTGGTCTGTAACCTTGCTACTATTTTTCATGTCAAATATTTTCACGTCTTAAACAGGATAAACATTTTCTTGTGGTTTTCAGGTGATTTCGAACATCAATCACTAAAATCAATTAACACTCAAAGTATTTGTCTTACTGACAGGGTAAGTGTATCAGGTCATATACTCCGCCTGGTCTCAATTCTCGAAGGTCTAAAAATATGGGGCCCCTTTGAAGGTCAGCACCAAGCTTAGTCCCGCAAGATGACAAGCAGAGTGTGCTGAACGACTGGGCTGATGAGCCCTTCCTTCTGGTAGCTCCAAGAATTTGTAATTTTTTAAATGAGAGGTTGGTTTTCTCTTTCACACTTAGCTATTTACTCTCTAACATTATAAAGCTGGAAACTTCGAAAAGTTTTCTACTTGGAATTCTTCACTTGCCCAGGTGATTTTGAGTATTTACTGGCTGCTTTGTAGTTCAGGTGTTATGACCTGACCTAGATAGATTAGATTGTTGGGCCCATGCAAACTCAACATCACTTTGCTTTTTAACAAATGACCATTATGTTTCAAAATAAAGAGAGCCTCCCTGGTGACACAACGAGTTAAAGCACAGCACTATGAAGCTATGGCAGCCATGGCAGTGTGAGTTCAATCCCCAGCCAGGGAGCAGACCCACATGGCGCAGCAGACCTCCCCTGTCTCCCCGCCACTCCCCTCAGCAGTGTATTTCAGTACTTCCACCTGTTCTGCTCCCCACTCTCTCTGGTGAGTCCTCTCACCCCCCATACTTCTAGCCTGTACCCAGTTCTTGTACGCATAAATAAAAAGTACATCATTTTAAAAATAAGAAAATAAACACAAAATAAGGATAAAAATGTTTACGAAATATTTTTACAAATACTCCTTTGATGTTTGTTTGGAGTAATGCTTCTGAGGGAGTTTAGTCTTAAAAATCTATGCTTCTGCAGAAGTATCTCACAAGGTGAAGCTGAAACATTCAAAAGGACTCACCGAGAGGTCAGACATTCCAACGGGATTGTCTCACTGTCCCAGCATGTATTTACAGGAGTATAGTGTAGCTCAGTTTGAATAAGGAGAGTATACTCTGAAATGGCCTAGGAGAGCACAAAGTTTGAGAAGGTAGCGTAAGTAACAGAGGAGGCTTACACACATTGGTGGAGAAGCAGAGAACATTCAAGATCTTAAAAATGGCTACTATGGCCCTCCCTGGTGGCGCAGCGGGTTAAAGCACAGCACAGAGAAGCTGAAGCCACTTCCGCATGAGTTCCATCCCCGCTTGCCCCGGAGGTGACCACATGGCGCAGCAGACCTCTCCTGACCCGCCCGCTGCTCCCCTCAGCAGTGTACTTCGTCGATCTGCCTGTTCTGCTCCCCGCTCTGTCTCTGGTGAATCTCCTCACCCTCCGCATCTCTGGCCTGTACCCCAGTTCTGTACGAATAAATAAATCTTAAAAAAAAATGGCTACTGCACTTTTTACATATACAGGACACTGGGACACAGTGCAGGAGAATGCGGATATAAAGGACTAGTGACCTCTACAAAGAAGCTCTGAATAAAACGTAAGGCTCTCACTACGTTTTCATGAACTACGTTAGTAGCTGAAAGATGGTGGAGAATCAGTTCCCTAAGCAGTCTTTACTCCTATGCTGGAAGGTTCTGCCTGCTGATGGCTCAATGTTCAATGACAAGGAAGAAACTATATTGTCACCTACTCACAAATTACTGTGGCTAGAACAAACTGGTTCTTAAAAACAGCTGGATAATAATGCAGCACCATGCATATAAAGTTCTTTTGAGTTTTTAGAAACAATTTTTATAAGGAATGAGTATTCTCACCTTTGTTCTGATGCCACAGTCATGAACCAAGTATACAAAATCATATATATATGTCTGTATCCGAGTCACAGGGCAACCGCTCCCCAGATGTAATTCCTCAGACAATATATACCGATTGTAGGCACACGGGCTAACAGAGACCATCACCCAGTCCAGAGAACAGCTTATTTTTACTGCAGGGAAAAAAAGCATATGAGAAGTATCAGATGTGTATATAGCTCAAGGGAGAATGCAAAGAACATTCAGCTGTGCCCTTTTTGATCAGAGTGTTTCTTTCCTTGACAAAGGATAGCATGCCAAGGTTTTTCCTGTTGACACTTTATTTTAATACCTGCACATTTATACTTTTAAATAATTCAGTTTTGGTTATTTCACAGGGAGGAAAATCATGCATAAGAATATGAGAAAAACAATCATAGCTTCCTGCCTCCTCTCAATGAAATTAGGTTCCAGTGAGGACCACATGTTAGGGACAGAAATAAATAACAATATATTAGAAGAAAGTGAAGTAGCCTCAGTAATAGTTTTTGTAGTGGGAAGAGAAGAAAGAGAGTAGGCGAATCCACATCTAGAGCAGCCAGAAGCAGAAACAGTCATGGCCATGGAAGCAATGAGGCTGAAGAGGGAAAACGTGGCAAAATTCTTGTGAGAAAACCACTTTTACCCTCTATGTTGGAATCTTCAGTAAATCAATGACCACTATTCCTGCACTGTGTCCTTTCCCTAAGAAACAGCGGGAAAACAGTGGCATGCTGGGCTGTGGCTTAGTGTGACAAACCTTAACCAGAGGCTATACAGGGGTGATCAGAGTTAAATTTCATGGTTCTTTACATTGTTCAGAAAAAAAACAAGAATTAGCTTTAGTGTTTTTGAAGATGTTGGTTACGTAGGAGAAAGAGAAGCTAAATTAAAAGGCAGAAAGGAGGAAAAGAAAGACAAAACGCCAAAAGCAAGTAAAAATGGACAAAAAGCAAGCATCACGGCCCTCCCTGGTGGCTCAGCGGGTTAAAGCGCAGCACCGCAAGGAAGCTGTAGCCCTTCAGTGCCAGCTCGATCCCTGGCTCCAGAAGTGATAGGACTAACGAACAAGAAACCTCCAACATCTTTGAGTCTGAAAACTCTCGACCTGTACAGATAAATTTCTTTCAAAAAGTAAACAATAACAACAAAAATCGTGCTGTTTTGGGAAAAAGATGTTGGCGAAGGCGTGTGTTTCACATCTGTGACTATAACCCCTGAATCATGTCCCGCATGTGCTTGAGAGGCTACTATAACATCACCTAGATAAAATTATTTTTCCTAGTAGAAAAAGGCTCCAATCAATAACTAGGGATAGAGGTAAATTCAAATGAAAAATGGTTGAGGATATACTTCTCATTTCACAGCTTTGGTTTATCCCAATATTGGAGTCCAGTTTCAATTTCACCTTTTAAGGTTGAGTCTCAAAGAACTAGGAAATTTTTTTTTAAAAGCCTGAGGCACATATATGGGTTTATTTATTTATTTATTTATTAACTGAAACAATCTTCCTTGCACGCAAGCTCACAGGCCATAGCCAGGCCTGAATACCCCTCACCCATCCAGAGAGTTTCCTCCTGAGTTCCAGCTCACTGCTTTCTCCACCTGTGTTGAACTGAAATGCAAGAAGTAACTTCTGCTGGCACTAATCTAAGCACTCAGAAAGATGTGTTAAGTAAAATAAAGATCAGAAACTACACATGGTCTTTACTCATAAAGCACTTACAGACCAAGTAAGGAATTTTCCCATGTCAGATACCAAAAAAGACCCACCTCAAAAAGAAGGAAGCAGACACATCTAAATGACCTCAAACACGCACACACACAGTTGAAATACTGACATAGTATAGTCGACATTTAGGCAGATCTTGAAACTGGGAATCATTTGGCTAACAGAAATTAGAGGCATCAACTTGTAGACAACCCAGACATTCGCTTAGCTTTATCCTGCTGGACCTGCAGAATGGCTGATAATTCGATGCAGCTAAAGGTCAGACAGCATTTTTAAAAGACAAAAGAGCCCTATCATCAAGGCAACATAGGAAGAAGGACAGTGAAGAGGGACACAAGGGACCAGTCCATTGCTGGTGGTCAGCGAGGGGTCTGGAAGGGCGCCCCACACAAAGCCAAGAACTATTTCTGGAGAACCAACAAATGAGGGTCATGACAGAGAGAAGCTCACAGCACAGGAGGAAGAAGTCTCAGATATCTAGGTGCAAAGAGATGTGTCTTCAATGTGTGGGCTCCCATTCACTGGCTCAGTATTTCCCTTCCAGCAAAGTGTAAGACGAGATCACCTGCATGGGAAGGGGTCATTATGAGTAACACATGCAAGGAAGCTTTCTCTAAAGCTCCTCATTTACCATAAATTTCCTCAGCGTGAGATCGAGTCAAGGCAACCACGAGAGTCAAGACCTCCAAAGCCATGGACACTTTCATGGCGCTGACCTCCGGAACAGCTACTCGCAAATTCACTGTTCGGAGTGAGTTTATATGGCGTCGTCCACTCAGCCGCCTGCATTTCCTGCTTCATTTCTACTCCATACTGCCAATCAAGGCCAAATGGCAGGACTAAGTGGGTTAAACGTTAGGGGTGGTGTATTCCACCTAATGTGCTCAATAGCCTAAATCATACATATTTGAATAAAAAAAAAACCTGATTTCTTGATTTCTTCATTTCTGTGGGTTTGACTGGAAATAGTAGCAGCAGAGATGTTTAAGTGACTTGACTGGGAAGATAAAGCCCTAGAAGGAGACAGATGTCCACAGGAAACTTTCTTAACAAAAATCCACAAATCCATCTCTAATGACACACACACAGTAAGTCCTTAATATTGTGATTGCTTTGGGACTATTCATTGGCTAGGAGACTGAATTGATTCATAAAGAACAAGAAGAGGAAAACTCAAGTATCTTTAATACAAATAAAGGATTCTTTAGTGTATGGCCGCTTCTAACTACATAGTCAGACCAAAAGAGGAAAGTCTTCGTGCATTTTCTTTTGCCAGTTTAGGGTAATTGAGGTAGAAAATGAGGGCAGGGTATAGATCATAGATGTAATGTTGAATGTATAGTTTCTTTTGCAGAAAGAGGGTTAGGTGCACAGCAAAGTGAATCTTAAGCGGATAACGTCAGTTGCCAGGAATGCTCTCCTCTTGAAGAGTCTCGAGGAGGTTCAGATGAGGCACACGAACCACAAGCATCTCATCCCAGGAAATTCAGCAATTAAATCTCAGAGAAGAGTTTTAGTCTGTGCAGAGGCTGGCGGGTCGCTGTTGTCTACCAGCAATGGACTATTTTGAATTACAGGCCACTTGGTTCCATCTTAACTGAACTTCTAGCTTCCAGGATATTCCTACCTTCTCTGATGACAATATAGCTCTTATGTTCTTTTCAAAATGCTGTCTGACCTTTACCAGTGTCAAACTTGACAACCATTCTGTGAAGTCAGTAGGATAGAGCTGGAAAAATGTCTGAGTTGCAGATAAGTTCATACCAATATATTTTTGCTGGTTCATCTGGAATAGTGTCTCATTTCTGTGTTATCCAAATGATTCCAAGTCTTAAGACCTGCCTACATGTCAATGATTGTAAGGCAGCATTTCAATATCATTTTGTGTTTATTTTTTAAGTTTATTTTATTTTAAACAAACTTAAGCATGTCTGTTTCCTTCTCCACTGGCCTGTAAACCCTCTGTGGGTAAAGACCAGGTCTAGTTCTGATCTCCCCACTTGACCTAAATGAAGTGCTCCAAATCGAACACAGCTGTTGTTCCCTTTAGTAATGATTCCAACTTTCAATCAGCGTCACCAGAGTCTGGACAGCCGCCATCTTCTCAGCCCTGAAGCCCGGCCGTCTCTACCCCTAAGAAACTCACCTCTTACATTTAGTAACCTACATCCTATGACAAGTGTAGGTCTAGGGATAAGGAGGAGGAGAACAAAGGAGAATCAATGACAAAGTAAGTCCTTTCTGATTTGTTTATAAAATACATTAATAGTTCCAGCATTTTGGGGAGTCGTTAAAGCCTCCCATTATTTCAAATCACCACCATATTCTCTTACTCACCTCTGGTAAAGCAGACCTAATCAAGGCAATGAGGAGGACTCTAACAGCTCAGAGGCCTTATCTCTGCTGCAACAAGAGCCATTAAAGAAATGAAAATACAACCTCCTCCCCCCTCCCCGCTGCTGCTATTACGTCACAGGGGCGCTCCAGCAGCCCCTAAAGGCTCCAGCAGACTCCTTCCCTGAGTTATTTGTTAGGCCCCTGGAAAGCCCAGTCTCTGATCAAGTGAAGCGTGCAGATCACCGCGGCCCCAGCAACCGAGTCTCTACGGAGGCAGCTCTGAGCGTGATGTTTTACCCACTTTTTTTCTTTACAAGTTTTCAGCTTCATGTGGAACTATGAAAGCATAGTTGAAACACAGCTTTCAACACTGAAGGCATAGAAGAAGCACCTATGGACGATGGCAAATATTACTGGCACTTTTATTTCAAAACATAGGTGTCTGCATACCTTCTGCTTTGGCCTGTTATTACAGAAGCTCAGTATGTTGGTGTATCTCTTAGCCTGATAGGCCAGCAGCTCATTGAAATCATGCAACATTTCTCAATGACTCAAATTATATAATTTTCCATTCCAGGAGAATATATAGATATCCTTTTCTAGCTGGGGAAAAGAGGTTTGCATTCAGCTTTAGCAAGAATAAATTCTGGATCCAAAGAGATAGGAAGGAATTTTCCTCCACATATTTTCATATACATTGTCAGGACATATATTTTTCTCTTCTCTCGCTCAGAAACAGAATCTAGACATAAATCAAGATTCCCCAAAATACTGGTCATTCCCCTGATTTTTTTTTCTCAAGGATAATTTTATATTGCAAAATTGTGTATATTCATTGCAAAATTTGCAAACACAGAAATGCACAAGCCACGAAAAAAGACACACAACCTAATAAACGCAGGGATACCTATTAACATTGTGAGGTACATTTTCTTTGTATGAATCGCTGAAGTACCATTTGCTTACATTGTTCATTTTGGCAATAGAAGGCTCTCCCATGTTCACCTTCCCTTTTGAATGAGAGCATCTACCTGAGCAGATATGAGCACATAGAGCCAGCATCCAGGTAAGGCTCAACACGAAAGTGACAGCAGCTCTTGAGTGGTACCACGGCAGTTTCACTTCCAGATACATATTGAGTAAATTCTGAAAAGAATTAGCCTCTTTCAGGTCTGTGATCCGCTCTGTTCTAATACCTTTCTTTGTGTAAGTTGTACTTATTGTTACTTTACATCATGTCTTTGGAGTATAAGCTTACACCTCTACAAGTGTACTTTATTCCACCACCACTGCACTGAAGCCCAGGAATATTCCATTGGATACCTCCCATCACATGGGCCTTTGGGTAGCCTTAGTCATGGGCCATTGTATTCTTCACCCCCTCTCAATCTCCATCCTAGATACCCCAGATCTTTGGTCAGCTTCCAAGGCTTGTCTGAACTTTTATTTGGTTTCTCTCTCACACATGTAACAAAACCATCTAGTATTTCTCTTCCTCCCGCTAACATCTTGCATCACAATCCCTTCCAGTTCCATCCATGTTGCTGCAAATGGCATGAGTTTATCTTTTTGATTGCTGAGTAGTATTCCATTGTGTGTAGATACCACATCTTCTCAATCCATTCATCTGTATTAAGGTACTCAGGTTGTTTTCATAGCTTGGCTTTTGGAAACAGTGCTGCAATAATTAGGAGTGCAGGTTTCCTTCTGAATTAATGTCTTTGTATTCTCTAGGTAGATACCTCAGAGTGGAGTTGCTGGGTCATATGGCAGGTCCAGTTTCAGTGTTTTGGAGAAAATTTTAAAAGATAACAATAATCAAAATGCATTCAAAGGAAGCTTAACAAGTGATCTGATACACTAGGAAAACTCCCATTGCCCTGAGAGTCCAACTGGGGGCAGGGTTTGGGTGGTTGTTGCTGTGACTTAGGTGGCTCCAAAACTCAGAATTATACCCCAAAGTTAACTGGAATCTTATTTATTCCTACACCTCCACGTCAAGATGGTAGAAAGCACAAATGCACAATCACAAGTCAAGACTTGATACTTCCTTGCTGGACATTATCACCAACAAATGGAAAAGCATTATAATAAACCAAGACTGGTGGGAAAATTTTTAGGTAGTTGAAGCAAATTCACATAGTTTTTTCCCCCTTTTTACAAGGATTTTGGAAGAAGATAGTGAAATTCATTCTTCTGAATCTTCCCTATGAGACAACAAGAGTTATAAGGAGTGGGGAAAGGTTTAGAGCAGTTTGAAGAGTACATACATACAGAATACAAAAATTTTTTAGATAGCAACTTTATTATGAGCTTAATTTCTCAAAGTTAGAGTGGCTGTGACGCATAAGCTTAGAACTCATTTAAAAATTCAAGTGTCAGATATACTTTCCAGAATTCCCAAAGGTATTTAAACAGGGAGCAGGTGTTGCTATCCATCTTTGGCGAACTGGATAGCAGTATCCCTGAAACTGGCTCCCACACAGAACGGACCCCTTCCTCCTGTGTCTTAAGGAGAAGAGCAACTCACAACGCAGGCGTTATTGTTGCAGTAACTTGTGGTGAGCTGTTTCTGTAGGGTGGGGACAAAAGAGGAAACAGTTAATTGCTGCTTACCTGTAACTCTTACCTAACTCTTCAGAGAACTGATGGGTGCTAAACTAGAAGCAATGTAAGTAACCAAATGTCTACCCTCGCACAAATCCTACCCTCAAACAGATCAGGTAATAGAAGCCGTCAACATCCAAGTATTGTCTAGATCACAGCTTTGCCAAGAGCATGGATATTGTGTTTATAACACTGTCAACTTTGAGTGTATAATGTTAGCAGATCTCTAGAACAAAGCTCCTTTATGCAATGGCAAAGTCACAGTCTATAGCACAAGATTTATTGTATCCTTTGAAAGATTTTGCACTTCTAGGTACTAATATGGCAAATGTCTGAGTAATTGCAGCGTATCTTGTACATACAGATCTCCACATACAGAGATCCTGCAGGATAAACATGATACTGCAGATCCCATGCGGGACTCTTGTAACAACCATTTCACTCTGTAACAGGCTGTATTCCAAACAAACAAAACAAGTGCCCAAGATAGAAGCTTAGAGAACTGACCCCACTGGAATCTAGTCATGTTTCTGCGCAACTAGCAAGAAAACCGAATGTACATATCCCAAAGCCACAGGCTTCAGCCAAAACCCAGAGCAACTTAATATCACATAGGGGTTGACATTACTTCCCTCACTGAAGTTGTACGTAGCAAATTGTTGGTCATGAAGTAACAGACAAGCTAGGGTTTCTCACCTCACTCACAGTATGAAGGCTGGGTTCACAGTGATCTTGTAAAGCAGCCGATGGC